CGGAGGCGGGAGCCCTGCGCGGGGTTCCTGGGCCGCTGCCTGCGGCCCGGGCCCAGGCGGCTTCTCTGCCAGGGCGCGTTTTGGCCGGGGAGAGCAGTGCCGGGGCTCTGCGCCTCCGTTCGCCTCTCCCTGTGACACCTCACCCTGGTCTCGGAGGTTTTCCTTTTGCCTGGAGGGAAGCCGAGTGCCTGGCTGAAGGTGACCCAGCCAGTGATCGCGAGGGAACAGACCCCTCTCGAATCCTCTCCTTTCTCTTCTCTGCTGCTCTTCGGCTTTTACGTTGTACTGCAGGCAGCCGTCTTCTGGCGAGTGGCTTTGTCTGCCTTACAGCTTGCCATTAGAAACCACCCGAGCTGGACTTCTTGTTTGGTTTTTTGTCAGTTTCTAATGAGAATTGATCCCTTGGGCTATTCCTAGCACAGTTCTGGGGGCTTCAGTTGCCCCCTGAGTCAGATAAGCGTGTCAAAACATTAAGACTTGAAGTGCCAGAGCAGGAACGTAACTCCCACGGAAAAACTGGTTTATGGGGCCAGAAGTTTACAGGGCGAATACCAGAGCACGGCACTTGCCGTGGCGAGTGGCCCTCCACGCTCTCCTCTCCTGCGTTAGAGTTACTTGCGAGTTTGGGATTGTTGACTCAAAGGCTCCGATGTTTCCAACCTACAGTGAACCCACCCCACGTGAAACTGCTCCCGGCTCTGCCAATAGCCATGTCGAAGTCCCCGCAAAAACCAGCACAGGCATTTCAGGCAAGCCCGCGTTCATCTATTTCAGCCTGCCTCTGAAAAGACGTGTGCAGACTACCACTCGCTGAGGGTAAATAACAGCTACAGGGACCAAAATAGGCTAAGATAGTGATAATAAGCAAAGGCTGCAGATGTTCTTCGTGACTATGTTCTGTATTTTAAAATCTGTATTCGTCTTTTTAAAATACTGAACTGCAATATCTGTATGCACAATAGCCTAAAATCAGTATAAACAATCGCCCATCTCACTAGCAAAACAGGGAGAGCAACAGAAAAATCCCTGGCCCCCTCATACAAATCTGAGATCTGTTTTGAATGGAAAAATCCAACCAGCTTTGAACTCACACAATGGCATCCAGACTCCATTATAATAAAACTGATGAATCTCAGCTTTAAAGGGGATGGTAATTTCTAATCCCTGAGCTTGTGCATACACACGCAGGCAGAAACATCCACACACTTTCATCTATGCTGGAAGAACCAAAGAAAATAAAAATTGCATTGATTTGACCTTTATGAAACCACATAAAACAGAGGCCACAAGAGGTCACCTTGCCCCTTCTCCTGGACCGAGGTGATCGGCGGGGCCAATTCCTTTTCCTGCGTTCCTCAGAACCCCCCAGCGTCTGATAATTGTGTTAAATAAGTCAGACTTTTGCTCACACAAAGATACTCTTGACTGTGCCTGACACATCAGGCAGGTCTGGGAACTCAGATGGAAACGGGAGCCTGGCCTAGGGCTGAATCTTAGCTGTAGTTTGTGTACGGAAATGGCATTGAACATCTTATTTCATCTCATTTCACTACAGTTCTGTCCATGGCTGAGGCAGGGCCTCATCATGACATTTTGTCGTGGATTCAGATGCTCCCGGCCCCAGTGTTTGTCTGACTCTTGGTTTTAGTTTAGGCCCATGTTACACAGGATTTTCTTAAAACGTGGAGATTTACACTTCAGGCCCTTCTTTCAGCCTTAGATTTATATAAAACTTGCAGTGAATGATGCGGTTTATACTGTTCTGTCTGTGGTGCTCGATGGGTGGAGGATGCCAACTAAGCCCATTGTAATTAGCCTCGTTTATCCATGCCACGTTACGTTGCCATGTCCTGAAGCAGACGGGATCTGTTCGGCTGGACCCACAAGCCCAGAGGTCTTCCTCCCTTGGGTGATTACATTGGCTTCAGAGGAGTTACTGCAGTTTTCCCACATGGCTGATGGCAGCAGCAGATCCGCTGCGCACAGAAAATTAAAAACTAGATTAAGTAGTAACAGGATTGATGCCAATCCTTTTGACACTGCTGGTACAGAATCACACTGTTGCATCCTGGATAGTTTGATTTTTTTTTTCTACAGTGCACACAACCTGGTGGCAATCCTACTGTGCAAACGACGGGCTGCACCTCCGGCTAAGCGCTCAACCACACAATTAGCGTTGAGTTGGTGAACGAGGCGGTGGCCACCGTCACAGCCAGCTCAGCCCAGAAACACACGCTGCAAACAGCGTCGGGAGCGTCTTCTGAGAACCCATCCTCACCTAAAACCGGGGAGGAGGAAGCACAGGCGAGGAGAGGGGAAGGGAACTGCGTTTCCCAGCCTACCGGACCCGCGAGG